TCCGATCTGAATCAAATGACCGCTCCGACCGCTCCGAAGTCCCGATCTGAATCAAATGATTCGCGAACCCGCCCCGAAGTCCCAATCTGATTCACGAACCCGCTCCGAAGTCCCGATCTGAATCAAATGATTCGCGAACCCGCCCCGAAGTCCCAATCTGAATCAAATGATTCACGAACCCGCTCCGAAGTCCCGATCTGAATCAAATGATTCGCGAACCCGCTCCGAAGTCCCAATCTGAATCAAATGATTCACGAACCCGCTCCGAAGTCCCGATCTGAATCAAATGATTCGCGAACCCGCTCCGAAGTCCCAATCTGAATCAAATGATTCGCGAATCCGCTCCGAAGTCCCAATCTGAATCAAATGATTCACGAACATATTCTTGGAGGGCCTGAGGGTGAGAGGTTTTTTAAAAAAATTAAATTTTTAGGTGAACTATTTATAAAAACAACAGGCCCTATGTCAAACAGAATGCATTATGCAATTAAAGACATTTCAAACTAAAGTCATATGACTGTCAAGCAGGGGTGAATGGATGATCAGCCAATTCTGTCTGATATTACTCGGATTTTGTTGCTAAAAACATTATGGATCATATTATGCAGCATCAAATATAGTTTCTGCTTACATGTAAATAACAAAAACCTAACATAATGCACATAAAGATGATGGTTACCGCCGGTGTAAAACTGCTGACTCAAGGTGACTCATGTTTTTCCATGATGTTACAAAGCAACTCGTGCAACTGAAACCCTTATGCTGGGTTATTACAGTTTACATGCAATTTAAATGCTCATTTACATTTGTGTATAAATGTGTGGGCTGATGCATTACCTTTGAGAATACAGTGATTTCAGGATCTGGTCAAGTCTCACATGAAAAGGAAAACAAATTATATTTACATAATTAGTAATGCTTTGCAGGATATTATTGTTCAGTGTTTGAAATACACAATAAAACACTTGCTTACTAATTAATACTGTGCTATTTTGACACAGTATTATATGCAACAGTAAGGCAGTATACAGAATAGCAAAGTACCATAGTATTTCTGCAAAATATAGTATACTGTGGACAGTTTGTATACTGCCAAAATGTACTGCATGCAATTAGAGCACACTGTGCAAAATACTGTATCCCACAATGCAATGCACCCCCATTCCCAGTGTGATGAATGAATCTCAACCTCAATGGTTGGTCATTA